AGCCTGGCATCTGAGCTGAGAACAGCCTTGGGGGATGCTCCCGGCAGCCAGACACACAGCTCGGCCAGTGACACAGGGCTCTGGGACTGCCCAACCCCCTCTGCCGTGGTGGTGATGGCCACCAGCATGGCACAGCGCCAGCCCCAGCTCCCTTCCCTTGGCCAGGCCCTTTGCTGCACACAGGCCACTGCTGGGCTGGCCCACGGCTCTTCATTTCTCTGTCTTTGGGGCTGGCAACGTGGGAAAATTTGAAAGTGATGTGAGTAATTTCACCTGACTGCGGCTCGGCTCCCCAGCGAGGCTGGAAACCGCAGCGCTCGCCCTGGCCACCAGCTCCTGCTGCTCCTGCTCCCTGCAGGCTGTCCCAGCCTTCCCTCAGCACAGCCAGGCTCCAAGGGTCACTGAGGGCTCCTGGAACTTCCCTCTCACTGCAGGCTCCTGGGCACCCAGCAGCTCCCCAGTGCAGGGTTTCCAGCAGTTTGAGCTCTTGGCGTGTTGGCTGATGTTCTGGGAGCTGTGGTTTGTGCAAGGCAGGCAGCACCCTGTTGTCCTCCATGGGGAGCACCCCTTGAAGTCACATCCCCAAAGAAAACTTAACAGCATGAAATTTAACGTTTTACACCATTGGAAGGGGCAGTGGAGTTAAACTACTTTATTTTAGTTCTGAATTGTCTTCTACCAGAAAATTAATTAAAGTAATTCCTATCCATAAAAGCAGCACTGGTGCTTTTGGAGGAGCCCAGCACTGGTGGGATGTTGGGATCCTCAGCAGCCCCCCAGGCAGTGTGGTGTGACCACTTTTTATAGCTTTTAATAGCAGTGTTCAGTTGTAGCAAGGAATACTTTTCACAGGTTGCAAAACATCCTCTTTTTTAAAATTTGTTTCTTTTCCTAAACTGATCCAAGAAAAAAAAAAAAAAATTTTCCTACAATATTTTCAGAGTTAAAAACTCAGAGTCTTACCAGCCATGGAAATTTTTTAGTTTGATCATTTCACTCAAATTTTGACTTCTGGCCTTCTGTGCTACGTTTTTCTAAGGTTAGCTTTAAAGTTTAACAGAAAAATCCTCCATCAAACCAGCAAAGTAAAACTACTCATTTTTAGCATGTCATGACTAAATAGATAAGTCTTTAAAAAATGAATTAAAATACTTGCTAACACAAGGTGCTTTCCAGAAAATGTTTGATTATAATCTCATACCATTCTCTAGTGAAAACCCCACATGTAGATTAAAATCATTTATAGTTCTGATCAACCAGCAGCATCCCAGCAGCTTGTATAACCCCACTGCTACCTGTGGTCAGAGCATTGTCATGGAGAATGGGAGCAAAGGCAAATGATGTGGAGCCTGATCAGGCACCTTGGAGCCAAAATGCTCTGAAACTCCAGTGGTGAGGGTGATCCTCATATGCAAGATCCACTGGCTTTGGATGTGCTCAGAGGAAAGAGTTTTCTGTCTGGCCTTGAGATCCCATCACAATCACACACTTGAGTGGGGAGATCTAATTTTGCCTTGCCAACAATTAATCTTTCTTAATAATTAATGCTACTGTCTTTTCTCTTTGTTCCTCCAATTATCTCTAGTTATTAAAGTCATATCTTGGCTTCAAGGAGGGATCTTCTTCCCTGAGTAGCATTGGGTTTTTCAGTCATTTTCAGGGGGGTTGGTGGGATGGTTGGTGTTGGGAGGGGGATGCACTGCAGCATCTGGGCCTGGCCCAGCACACAGGGGAGGAGGGGGCAGTGCTCACATGGGAGCTGGCACACAGCAGAGCTGCAATTTAGCAAATTTGAGGTGGGGGAAAAAGCCCTCCAGGCTTGCAAACCCCATCCTGCTGCTCCATCTCCTCTGGAAATGCCATTCTGCAGTTGCTGTAAATGTGTCTCCTCATTTCTGCACGAGGTCATGGCTGCACAGCTCATTCCCTAACCTGTCCTCAAGGGGCTGTGCTGGAGGAGATGGGGCAAAGCTGTCCTTGGAGCCCCTTCAGGTCCCCCCATGGCTGCTGAAGGACAGGAGGTGACAAATTGGTGTTGGGGCCATGATGTTTGGCACCAGCAGCGTTATTTTTGGTGGTTGGGTAGTGAGCAGCTCTGTCACTGCAGCTCTGGGCTGTGTGGAAACCCAGGAGACAAAATAAGATGCCTTACCAAACCACAGCCTGTCCCCTGTGATGTCCTGACCAGCAGCACCCGGTATCCTCCCAGGGGACCTTCTGAGAGAACACCAAACCACTGCCCTTGTGTCAGCCCTCTTGGGAGAAAACATTTACATCAGGCTAACTTCATGGCATAAAGCATTGTCAGTTGCTAAGTCCTGGCTTTGAAAAGCCTCTTCAAGGTTCAGCTGCAGCTGATTTTCAGGAACACAATCTAGACCTTGCAAAAAACAGGGAATTGATCCCGTTTCCCTGGCACACGGATTTCTGTAAGCCAGGTATGGTTTCATAGTGCAGCTGGGGAAGACCAGGAGCTGCAGTCATGGCCATGGGCCGCAGCCATTGGCAGCTGCAGTCTTTGAACCAGGATCAACATGGAGTTTTCTCTATTTCTCCATATTTTTGTGCAGCATTTCCTCCCTCCCTGATTTTGGGAGATAGGTTCCTGTTACAAACTCCCTAATGGAGGAAGTGGAAAGGGGGATAAATAGCCTCTTGCTGGATTTTTTCTTGTCTGCTTGCTGGTCATTCTTCCCCACCAGATCTTTATGGCTTTAGGGAGTAGAGAAGTTTTTGAGTGAGGCAAGGGCAAATGTAGAAGGGTCATGGGGAGGCAGCTCTTCTTACTGGTGCAGCATGTTGTTTTCCATCTGAACTGATGGAAAAACTGAGTAACTGAACTGCAAGTTTTGTTGTACCACCAGGTTACCACTGAACCATTGAATCTCAGAGTTGTTTGGGTTGGAATGGACCTTAAAAAACATCTCCTTCCAATCCCCTGTCTCCTGCCACTGCTCTGAAAGCTGTTCAAAGTTGTCAGGCAGCGAGGCTGGCTGGTGAATGGTGCTGTGCTTTGGATCAGGCATGAGGCAAATGGGAAAGAAAGATCTGTCCTACTTTGAACAGAAGAAGTGCTTGAGTTGAGGTTTTCAAACAGCTCAACACTGAGCTTGTTCTGCTCCAGTGTCATGTTAGAATGTACACGTAGAGCTGCATATCCCTCATTTAGGCTTTGTGGCTCTTAAATAAGCTAAACCATAGCTAATTTTAGAAATATCACTGAAAAGCTCTTCTTCATCTCATTTCATGGCTAAGAATAGAAAGAGCTCAGAGCTCCAAACATGTGTTTAACTAAGCAGGAACCAGCCCAGTGCTGCTCTTGATGGGAAAACCACATAACCCATGGCCCTGCTGCAGGACAGGAATGCCTGTACCACACCAGTTTGTGCTGGGAAGGGGGATTACATTCCCAGTACCCCACTGTGTGCAGTAAACCTACACCTGTTAAGCACCAGGAATTAGGGTTTTCATTCATTCTCAAATGCAAACCTGTGAGCCTCTTGGTTTTTATTTGCATGAGCAAACCTTTGTGGGAAAGGCAGATGTAAAGCAGCGTCTCCATCAGTCTGTTTTCTTTTCTGCTTCATGGGTTTCCTCCTCAGAGCAGGGATGCAAAACACAGGACTTGCCCAGGGCTCCCAGTTCACTTGGAGCAGCCAGGATGGGTCCAGGACAGGTTGATCAGAGCCACTGTCTGAAAAAGCCAGCCAGAGCTTTGTGCTCATTCTGCCTGAGCAAAATCATTACCAAAGTGGAAGGCACCAGTGAATTGAGTTCAGAGATTGTAAATGACTTGTCAGAAGTCACACAGCAAATCATCTGCAGACATCCCCATGAGACTGATGAAAACTGGCTGGCATGCCCAGCTCCTAGCCCCTGGAGAGCTGTCTGACCTGCTCTGTTCCCAGACTGACCCTGTTCTGGAGTGCTGTTAGTCCTGGTTTCTTTTGTGGATTTATCTGGGACAAATCCTAACTTTCCACCACCAAGATGAAGTCAGTTTGGATTTAAAGGCAACCATGGGCGAAACTGGGCATGTAGGAAACAGCTCGAGGCACTCGAGGCGAGGAGGCAGCGTAGATGGCAGCGTGTGTGTGTGTGTGTGTGTGTGTGTGTGTGTGTGTGTTCCTCACTGCTGTGCAGCTCTTCCAAGCAGGTTCCCCTGTCTCTGCTCCAACATGCAGGAGGACTTCCTGTTGTGTTCACCAAAAAGGGCTTTTTCCAAGGTGTTGGGCTCCAACAGCCATGCTGCACGTAGCGAGGAGCAGCTACAAGAGGAGACAGATTTTTCTTTGATTACTTTTCCTGGACTTTTTTTGCATCTCCAGAATTACCTCAGCTCCCTCTGGTCCTTCTCCAGCACTGGAGCTCAGCCCAACAGGGATTGCAGCCCAAGGGCTAACTGGTGACCATGTCCTGTTTCCAAAGACATTACCCTCAGTGTTTAATGGTGGCCTTGGCAGTGCTGGGTTAATGGTTGGACTTGATGATCTCTATAAAGTCTTTTCCAACCCAAATGATTCTGTGATCCTGTGTCTGTCCTTGCATGACAGCACTGATTAAGAAATCCCAAACATGACTTTCACAGTGAAGATGAAGGATTCACTGTGAAAGTCCAGATTTAGACCCTGTGGTAGTCCAGGACAGAGAACAAGAGCTTTGCATTGGGTAACAGACTTGGAGCATTCATCCTGGAGTAAAAGATACTGGAAATGAATGGGAAAAAAGTTCTGAACTTTGAAAACTTCAAGCTGGTTTGATCTGTTTTCCACTTATCCAAGAAATCATCTCCAGCTGTTTTCCCTGCTTGGTTTATGGATTGGGTTTTGGGTTTCTTTGCAGGATGCTGCAGTGTTTGTTTAGTAATTTGTTTAGTGTTCGTGTAGTGTTTTTAGTTATCCCCAGCCTTGCTGGCAACAGCAGGACTGCAGAGGGCACTGACTGTCCTTGCTGGTGGATCCTGATGGCTTCTGAGTCCTCTGCATCGTTGTGTCTTGCAGTCCAACAAAGTTCCCGTCGTGCAGCCGTCGCACGGAGTGCACCCGCTGACCCCGCTCATCCCGTACAGCAACGAGCATTTCAGCCACAGCTCCCACTCCCCCCACCTGCCCGCTGACATCAACCAGAAACAAGGTACTGCACACTGGGACCTGTGTGCTGGGAGGGGGGAAGAGCTGGAGACCACTGGGGCTGGCACCTTCCTGGGACCTTCCTTCCTCTGGGACCTTCCTGGTCCCAAATCCATGAGAAAAATCGGGACCTTTGGTCAGCTGGGACATTGCTTAGCAGGAGGAGGTTGTTCAGCTTATTGGCAATGCTCTGTGATCTGGCCGTGGGCAGTTTGATACCAAAAGTGCCAGCCCTGCTGATGGGGTGTTCTCAGTTCTCTGACCAGACCAGAGCCTGCACAATGCTGCACAAGAGTCAACCAGAAAATGGAAAGTAATCTTTCCTTTGACTCATACCCAAACTGTTGTCAGGTTGTCATTTTGAGAAAATAAATGCTTGAAACAGGAAATATTTTGACTAAACAGGATTGGTGTCTGATAGTTGACTGGGCTGTGACATGTGTGTCCCCGTAGCCACATGTTATGTGGTTGCCACCTGGTTTGGCTTTTTGTGTTCCTGTGTGAGCCCAGGCTGTGTCAATTGGCTCATGAGGCTATAGAGGAAAGTACAGTATGTTGAGGTTAAACCCTCTAAAATAAACTGTAAATACAAGTATGTGTTGAGGAATTCACCCCCATCCATCATTCTTCATGGGTTCCTGGCAAACTGAGTGTAAAATCAAACTTTTCTCAGCCTTACATTGGTGTAGAACATCTGTTCAGATTACCCAGTTTTTTTACACAAACCTGGGCTTGATTTCATGGGAAAGCAAGCAAACTGACATTTTTGTGTCAAACTGCATTCAGGAAGGACAATGTCCATCAGAGCCCAGAAGCCAGTGCCAAAACAGAGGCACAAAACCAACTGTTGGGATTTGGCCAAAGGCCTCCACTCAGGAGTGATCCAAACCATCCCAGAGGCATCAGCTTCACCAAGTTAACATCACTGATAAAACAATGGGTTATTGAGGATGCTCTTGGCTGGAGGACCCACTGAATAATCCCTGGTCTGAACTGAGAGGCCACACTCTGAACTCATCAGGGATGCTGATGGGTAGGATTTAGGTCTGGAAGTCGCATTCTGGACTCATTAGGGATGCTGATGGGTAGGATTTAGGTCTGGTGTAGGGGATACCCAGGCACATCCTTGTTGTCTTGCAGGCAGCATACTGCTTGTCAGCCATCAGAGGGTAATAAACTCAGCAGAAAAATAGAAAGAGTTAACAAATTGAACCTACTAAAAGCTCAGGTAATGAGTTGAGTCTGAGAGAAAGTGTGCAGGAAGGCAGCCCAACACACCTTCCCCCACGCTGCCTTTGCTGTACCTGGCAGAGCTCTGTCCCTCCAGGAGCTGTTCACCATGAGCTGCCTCCTGGGACTCACTGTCAGCCTGGGAAACCTTAAGTGCTACAAGAGCAGCTCACCCAAGGGCAGAGCTGGTTGAATCCATCTGTGGAGGCTGCAGATGGCACTGGAGCAGTCCCTGAGCATTCAGCTCTGCAGTGGGTCAGTCATTCCAGAACACTGTCCTTGGGCTGCCCACCTGCACCCTCAGTCCATCCATTTAGCTGGTACTTCTACAGACACAGGGAGTCTGTTTGCCCCAGAGACCCACCTTGTGCAATTTCAAGGAAATTTCATGGGTTCAGCCCATGATGCTCAGCTGGGTCTTGCCTTTGTGGTGCAGCTGTGATCATACATGCCCCATGCCTGCACTGCTGGGGGAGGATTTTCTCCGTGTTCATCCTGGATGTGCCCCATCTCTGTTTTCATCACTGAAACAGCTCCCACTATCACACAGTGTAAGCACTTGAGAGGCACTCTCATACTTGTTCTCCCAGCATCCCTTTAAAGTTTCTCACAGTAGCCCAAGGACACACAGACCAGGAAATACAAGCAGGAATTCTGAGTCAGTGGCTGGTGGCCCAACCACTGGGCCAGCAAGAATAACTTGTGCTCTGACTTACGCAGCTCGTATTGTTGGGGGTGCAAATCTGAGGATGTTCCATCAGCTGCCTTGTGCAGGCCTGCTTTTGTTTGAGCCTCCATGGGCCACTGAGTCCCACTTGAAGGAGGTCTTGTACTAGGTTATATATTCCTGTCAGGTCAGTTATATATTTATTTTAGCTGACTCCTAATAAAATGCTTAGAATCAGTTGGTGTCATTCCTAATTAATAAGGTATCATTCAAACACCTAGGATAAAAATCCAGTTGCAACTGCTTGCAATTCATCACCAGTTTAGTCCATGTGTTTATCATCCAGGAGGGCCACTGGATAATCCCTGTTCCCAGTTTTTGTCTGAGGCTCAATAGCAGCCATCACTGCACTAGGCTGCTCTCAGAGCTCAGCCCCAGCACCCCTCCAGTTTCCCAGTCCAGGGGTCAGCTGGAGGCTGGTTTTGCCAGCAGCGCCGTGGTTGTCTGAGTCCCACCCGCAGCCCCAGGCAGCACAGGATGTTTTCCAGCCCAGCTAGGAACGGAGCAATGCTGTGGCTTTGTCCCCTGGCCATGCTGCTGTGCCAGCGGCTTTGAAGATCACAGAGGGATTCCCCATGTGGAGGGTGAATTCCCAGCTGGCACCATACCCACCTCCATAGTTCCTTGGCACCCACAGAGCTGCAGAACAATTGTTTTGAACTCAAATTACTTAAAATTAAGTTGGAAGTGATGCCTGCTGGAGCGTCCCCACTGCCTGCTCATGAGGGCTCCTGCAGATGACTGATGGAGAGGGAGCAGAGGAATGGCTTTGACCATCCACTGAGCACCTGAGTGGGCTCTCTGGGAAAGGCAGAAGGATGCCTGGAGTCAGCCAAATCCTTACCAAAGCACCGTGCTGCTTGGCCTCAGGGTGGCATGGAGCAGCTGTGATGCTTGTGCAAGAGCGAGATGTCTCCTCCACCCCCTACTTACATTTGTGATTTTGCTGCAGTGTGGATGACCCACCACATCCCCACAGAGAGAAGCACAGGAAACACCAGCCTGCCACCTGCAGATGGCTATTCCGTGTGGCTGTCCACAAGTGTCCATAGATGAATCCGCCAGGGGGTTGGGATCAATCTGAGTCACCTAGGGAGTGCAGTGCCACATTCAACTCCTCTGCTTCTCCCTTCTTCCAGGAGTGCACCGTCCTTCCCAGACCTCAGACATCCCTGGTTTCTACCCGCTGCCCCCCGCTGGAGTGGGCCAGATCACGCCGTCGATGGGATGGTGAGTGAGGGGGGCTCGGCCCCGGCCCCGGCCCCGCAGGGACGGGTCCCTGAGCCAGCCCGACCACTGCTGCTGCTCTCCGAGACCTCCACGGTGCCTTCCCCCAGCTTCACCCCTCCTGTGCGCTGCATGAAGAGGGAGGAGAATTTAGCCTGTCTTGGAGGTGGGAGCAGAGCCGTGGAGAGGCTGAAGGCTTTGTCCTGGCTGAGGCATCCATGGAGAGGGGTTGCAACCTGCCCAATCCAAAACTGCCTCCTGCTTTACATCTGTCTGTGTGGATTAGGGAACCCAGAGAGAGCTTCCTGCCCACCCCTCCTAATCACAGCAAAAGTCTCTTTTTTGAGTAGGAGGTAATTTTCTCCCTCACTGGACTTTTCGGCACAAACAGTGCTTTCCCTGAGCACACCACCAGTACAGAGTAATCCTGTGGGATGCTCCATCTGCCAGGCCGTGGTGTTTCTTGGGATCTGACACACAAGGAAAAAGTACATCATGGCAGAGACCTGCCAGGAAGCAGCCCTGGTACCCACAGCCTGGCCAGTTGGTAACCACTGTCCCAGTAGGCATGGGAAGGCAGAGACCATGAGCTGGAGCACAAAATGTACCCACCATGTGGGCCAGCCCTGCAGAGCATCCTGCAAAGCACAGCCTGCTGGTAAACCTGCCCCAGGGGTGCAAGTTAAAAATACACCAGTGTGTTCTCTGTGGTCATTGCCACTGGCTTTTGTCCCCGTGACCATGAGCACACTGAGAGAGCGGGTCTGGCAGGTGCTGCCGCGTGGGCATCGTCACTCCTCAGATTAATGTTTAATCCCTGGTGATGTTGTAGGGACATGGCAGAGGCTGGCAGAGAGACTGGTGGCTGCAGGTGGCAATTCAGGGTTGCTGGGATGAGGAGAGGGTGCAGGGCTGGTGATCACAGGCACAGTGGCCACATTCCCCCAGTGCCAGTGGATAAAACCCTGGCAAAGCCCGGCAGAGAGCTTCAGGTGAAAGAACATATTGCAGAGTGGGGAAGGGGAAGCTTCTTAAAGCACGAAGTAAAATGTTAGCTTTTGCTTTGTTTTGTTTATGAATTTCATGTTCCAGATATTTAACCACAAGGAAACAGAGAATGAGGCCTCTGATACAGTCTGGCTTCAAAGAGATTACATTTTGCCTTCTGTGCTAAATCTGCTACTCTTGGGTGATGATTTAACTCCTCATATGATGTGATTCATCCTCAGGAAAAACAAGGACTGGGGTGACTCTGCTGTAACATGAAAGAAACAGTTGGAGTGGGGAGAAAGGAGACTGTTTGTCAAATGGAAGGTCCACTCCTGGGTTAGGATGATGCTGTTCAGACAGCTCTGGGCTCATGAAGGGAGAGAAGTCTGGTTTTTTATTGAGATTTTGTGGGGCAGTTGGTGGTGGAGAGAGCTTCCATGGCTGAGAGCTGCTCCAGCATCCAAGGAGTTTGGCATCCTCCTGCAGCTCCATCAGATGTTTTCATTAATGGCTAATAGAGCAGATATGGTAAAGCAACAAAGGGCCTGACATGCAGAGAGCAGCACCTTGAGCACGCGTGTCTAATAGAGTTTTGCTCATTCTTTTCCTTGCCCAAAATGTATGGAAGAACCCCAACCCCACTTGTGGAGTGCCCAGTCCTCAGCTGAGGCTCAGCACACCGCTGTGGGTGGGTGCTGAAGCACTGAAGCCTGGCAGGTTCATGGTAGCATCCCCCCATGCCAGCAGCAGGCAGCAGGGGCTGTGTGCCAGGGATGGTCATGCCAGGGATACATCCCAGAGGAGCTGTGGCTGCCCCATCCCTGGAAGTGTTCAAGGCCAGGTTGGATGGGATCTTGAGCAACCTGGGCTAGAGGAAGGTGTCCCTGCCCATGGCAGGGGATTGGAACTGGATGATCTTTAAGGTTCCTCCCACCCCAAACCATTACAGGATTCCATGGTTGTGCTAATGCCACCAATAGCTGCCAGGCCAGGGCAGCTACACATGGGAAGCAACTTTTCCTCCACAAGCTGGCAGGCAGGAGCTGGGCACAAACTGGCTTTGCTCTCACTGAGCGCTTCAGGAGGAGGAGCTGCAATCACTCTCTCTGTAATTAAGCTGGGATGACAGTCAGATAAAAGCTTCCAAGAGTCCAGTCAAGTGAGTTTTGCTTATGGGAGCCTGGCAGTAAACATTAGCCAGGAACCTGCAAATCGTGTCACTCACTGTGCCCGGGGCCGAGCACAGTGGTGCCAAGGCAGCCTCTCCTCCACCATCCCACAGCCTTCTTCCTGAGCCACCCTCCCATCACCAGGTGATTCTCTGGAAACAGGCTGAGAGAGCTGGGGTTTTTCAGCCTGGAGAAATTTCCAGGGAGGCCTCAGAGTCCCTTCCCGTACCTAAAAGTAGCTTATAAAAAAGAGGGAGAGGCACTTTTTATATGGGCAGATAGTGATAGGACAAGGGGGAGCAGTTTTGAACCAAAAGAGGAAAGTTAGATCAGATGTTAGGAAGTTTTTTAAGCAGAGGGTGGTGAGGCCCTGGCATAGATTGCCCAAGACATTGCAGCTGCCCCATCCCTAAAGGTGTTCATGGTCTAGTAGCGCAGGGCTTGGAGCACTGGATCTAGGGAAAGGTGTCCCTGCCCATGGCAGGAGCTTGGAATGAGGTGAGCTTTAAGGTCCCTTCCAACCCACACCAGTAACTCCATGATATGGGCTGTAATCGTGCACTCCCAACCACCAGGGACTGATTTTGCAGTTGCTTTAATTTTCATGTCAGGGGGACTTTAGATGAAGCTGCAAGCGCCTGACTCCATTCCCATCCCAATGCCCCAGCCCCTGGAGTAACCCAGGTCGCTTCTGGATTAGCTCCAAGTGTTTTCTTGGCCCTGGGGCAGCCGCCTCCAACTTCAAAGGCTGTTTGGGTTTCCCGGTGCGCGGCAGCTCGGCTGTTTGTTGGTGTGTTTATACCCCGACATCTGAGGGGTCGGACAGGGCTTCTGCCTGCCAGGGTGTAAACAGCCCCGGCTGCCTTTCCTGCAGACAGATCCCCCAGATTTCAGTCCAGCCAGGAGGATTTCAGACAGCAGCAGGAACGGGAGCCTCCTTCCTGCCCAGCACAGCTCAGGGGTCTGGCTGCTGCCCCGCTGTCATTATTCCTCTTCAGGGCAGAAACTTCTCTTTAGCCCTGAAAAATCCCAGGCATTCAGGAGCTTGGGTCCTTCACAGTGCACCATGCTAAATGGTAATGGACTTTTTGTGGATTTTTTTCATCATTAGAGCTGGTGCTGGGTTTAGGTACAGCTCTGTGCAGCCTGGCCAGAGGAGTGTGAGAGCCAGCACAGTTGGAAGCACCCCATTGTGCCCATCCCTGGAAGTGCTCAAGGCTAGGTGGGATGGGGCTTGGAGCAAGCTGGTCTAATGGAAGATGTCCCTGCCCATGGCAGGGTGGGTTGGAATGAGATGAGCTTTAAGGTCCCTTCCAACCTAAAGCATTCTGTAATTCTATGATCTCCATGTGCAGTTTTAGGCTAGAAGCATCTTTTGGCAGGTTTTCAGAACAATCCAAGGTATTTTTGAGCTATTTCCATATGAAAATGTGGGGGTTCCCTTACTGGGAACAACAAGGAACTTCCTGCATAGTTATTTTACTATCTCAAAAATAATTTCCAGCCCCAGGTCTGATACATGTCTGGTCCCCAGTTCTTTTCAAAAAGAATGTAGGACTGAGCTTTTGGCTTCTTTAAAACTGATGGGTGTCCATAAAAGGGTGTGCTGAGGAAATCAGAGCATTCCTGAAGTACAAAGGCAGGGTAGCTGCCTTCTCTCCAGGCTCCAGGAGTCTCCTGTGCTTGGGGCATCACAGCATCACAGAGTAGATGAAATTGGAAGTGACCACAGTAGTCATCTGCTCCAACCTCCCTGCTCAAGCAGAGTGGTTCCAGAGCACATGGCACAGGATTGTGTCCAGACAATCCTGGGATATCTCCAGTGAGAGGCTCCACACCCTCTCTGGACAACCAGTGCTTGGTCACTGCATGATAAGGAAGTTTTCTTTATATTTATCCTCCTGGTGCAGCTTCTTATGCACCTCACAGAGAATCTAAGCAGGCTTTAAATTTATTTTTTTTTTTGGTCACACTGTGCTCTTTTGAGCAACTTCTGTGCAATAGCAACATCTGATTTTTCAGCACACCTCTGCACTTTGCATTGTTACCAGGTAAACTCAAAGCTGCAGCGTTAGTCAGTACCAGGGGCAGAGGGGGTCAGAACTGGATCCAACCTTTGTAGGAAGGCCCACAAAGAACTTTTGTAGGTTCTCTCAAAATAATAACATCCAAAGCCCACACTGCCCCTCAAGCGTAAGGCACACCGAGTGTCCACCCAACCAGGGGCACCAAGTCCTGTTAGCACAGGGTATCTTTAGGAAATACCACGTAGCTGTGGATACTTTATAGACTCTTTCTTCCTGATCCCAGGCAGAGCCAGTCTGTCTATCCGCTCCCGTCATGTGGATTTAGACAGCCGTACTCGTCAGCGCTTTCTGCTGGGGCTTCTTTCTCCAGGTGAGTATGAGCTGTGGCAGACAGGGCAGCTCGGCTGGTCACGCAGCTTGCAGTTTGTGCAGCAGGAGCTTGCAGCAGACCACAGCCACCCAGGGACAGCCACACACCCTCCCAGGGCAGCCCCGGGGAGAGAAGGCGCTTTCAGGCAGTGTCTGGTCCAAAGGGTGCTCAGGGGAATATTGAGGAGGAAGGATGCACAACGGTTGGGATTTTTTCAGCAGTGCTCTAAAGAGAGTCAAAACCTCCAGCCTTCAGCTCAGCCTTGGGAAATGGGGTGGAATCCATTGCTCAGGACTTTGCTCCGTGTCACTAATCCTGAATGTGTCCCTGCTGCCACCACCGCTTTGCTCTGCAGAGATGGATCTGGTTTACTTGGTCTGAGCTTTAAAAGCAGGACAGGAGGGGCAGTGATTTGCTGCCCTCCCATCCGAACAAGTCATTTCTGTGAGATACAAACACAGCTTCTGCCTTTGGGTGAGCAAAATGCATCCCCTGTGGATGGGAACCATGAGCCCAGCTCCTCCAGGTGTGCTGCTGGGCAAAGCCCTCCTGGTTCCATAGGGATGCCAGGGCCACACCAGCTTTTGCTTCTGCTTCATGTTGTCCTGAAGAGCTATTAGTGGAGATTTCCCACAGGAAAACTATGCAAACCCTTGCTCAGGCAAGCCCTTAGCCACACAGAAACCTGGATCCATGCAACCCTCAATCCATACAACACTTGATCCATGCATCCCTTGATCCATGGAGCCCCTCAGCCTTGCAGAAGAGGGGAGGGAGTGCTGCCAGCCCTCCTTTTCTCACCCATGCACAGCTTCAGAAGTGAAGCAAGAGGAGCTAACGGTTCCCTGTGGAGCCCCAGCAACCTCCCTGAGCTCCTGCCTGCAGGATTTTGGGGTGGATTTTGCAGCACTGCTGCAGCCGAGAAAGTACACCTGGTCAGATAAAGATCAGACTGTGCTGGTGGATTAAATTAAACAGCTTTTCTTTTCGTGCCAGCATATCTAATGAACAGTTCATCTCCCATGGGCAATTCTGCCATCTCAAGCTGCAGTCATAAAGTGGCAAGCTTGGCAAAGCTGACTTTGCTGGCTTTATCCTCCAGAACTCGGGAGAGAGCTAATGAAGCCTGAGAGCTAATGAGACCTCTCGTGATCTCAGCCCATGCTGTGGAGCGCATTGCTTAGGCAAGGTGCACCTCCTAGAGTTGCAGTTGGGTTCATGTTCAGACTTAGTCTATTTCTGTTAAAAGAAAGGTGTGGGGTGGTCCTAATCTCTCCCATCCAAACCCCAAGTTGAGTTTGTTGTTCCTTTCTGCAGTGCTAATGAGATACTGCAACAATAGAGATTTGAGCAGCTGAAACTGATGGGTGAAAGCAGCCTTGATCTCGGCCGGGCCGGCTCCTACCGCAGGAGCTTCCCTCGCCATGGCACCGGATCCTGTCCATCCACGGCCTGACCAGCCGTGCCACATGGGTGACCCAGGGCTGGTGGGCACTGCCTGCCCCCCGCCAGCCTGGCAGCACCCGCGTGCTTTCCGTGTCCTCGCTGTCCGTCTGCTTGGCCGCGCAGAGCGCTCCGAGGACGCCCTGCTGCCCGGCCCGCCGTGCCCGCCCGCGCTGCCCTCCCGGCACGCTCACCCGCTGTCTCTTGCAGGTTCACTCACCCGCTGATGCTGGGCTCTGGCATGCACACCACTGGCATCCCGCACCCCGCCATCGTGCCCCACTCCGGCAAGCAAGAGATGGAGCACTACGACCGAAACATGTGAGTGGGAAGGGCTGGCTCAGCAGCACACATTTCATCTGTCACTCCCAGTGCTCAGACGGGGGGAGGATGGATGAACACTGCGCTGTGCATCTGAGGAGCATCTCGGGCCCCCCACCTGCTCGTGCTGTTGCGTTGTTTTGGGGTCGAGTCTTCTGCTGGCTCTGATGCTGACAGCCCCTCCTTTTGTCCCACCAAGGAAACCTCAACCAGAACCAAAGAGAGAGAAGGAAGCCAAGAAGCCCACTATTAAGAAGCCCCTGAACGCTTTCATGTTGTATATGAAAGAAATGCGGGCGAAAGTCATCGCCGAGTGCACCCTGAAAGAGAGTGCTGCCATCAACCAGATCTTGGGAAGGAGGGTAAGAGCTCACGGGGCCAATGTCATCACCTAGTGCCACATCCCTGTCCCTTACAGCTGCTCTTCAGTACAATACAAGAATCTGCTTCAAATCTGGGTGCTCTTATCCCATGAACGCAGGGGCTGGATGTGTCCTGGGGCGGGGTGGCCGTGGAGGGGACAGCAGGGCCATGCTTCACTGCTGTTTGTCCTTGCAGTGGCACGCGCTGTCCCGGGAGGAACAAGCCAAGTACTACGAACTGGCTCGCAAGGAACGGCAGCTCCACATGCAGCTCTACCCCGGCTGGTCTGCCAGAGACAACTACGTGAGTGTGGGACCCCCACCCTAGGGCATGGCCCAAAATGGCCTGGGGGGCTGGCAGCTAGCAAACACCTGCTCCTGGAAATGCCTTCCTGGCAGCACAAGAGCCATAGAAATTCACATTTCAGGGGTATTTTGAACACCGTCTTGCCTTATTCCCTGTGTAAAGGATGAAAGATACAACCCCAAGCAACCACAAGCATTTTTTTGCTTATTGTGCAAGCATATACAAATAGAAAGGAAAAGAAGCTTTTAAGTGCTGTGGATATATTTTTGGGAATGTAATTTCATGGAAGCAAACGGCCCTGTGCATCTTGGACAGTAGCTGAGGTATCTGTGAGGGTGGTGAGGCCCTGGCACAGGCTGCCCAGAGAAGCTGTGAGTGCCCCATCCCTGCAAGTGTTCAAGGTCAAGTTGGACAGTGACTGGAGCAACAAGGGCTAGTGGAAAGTGTCCCTGCTCATGTCAGGAGGTTGGAACAGGATGTCTTTGAGGTCCCTTTCAACCCAAATAATTCTCTGATTCTGTGATTTAAAATAGTGGTTCTTTTTGTAGGGAGTCTTTTTTTGCGACTTTCACGACTGTTTTGACATTACATGCCTACAAGGTCATTGGTGAACTGAAGCAAAGCACACATAAGTCTTCAGATGTCTGTACACCCACACATCTCCATCATTTCCCTCACAGACACTTTTTTACCTCTGAGAACTGCACAATGAGTGCCCATCTTTCCCACACTGACTCCAGCTCTCCTTCCAGAATGACAAAACTCCACCAAGGGCAAGAAAACACCTGTAAACCACCCCAAACTCCTCCCAAAAACAGAGGGCAGAGATGATGCAGAAAAAGCAGAGGTGATGGGAAGCCCCCAGCCCACATTTTGATGGGCACACATCTGGAGGGCATCAGCACTGCTGAGAGCATGGCACCATCTTCCTCCAAGACCAAGCACATCCTCCATGGAAATCCCAGTCCTGTGTCATTTTCATCTGGTTCCTTGGCGAACCAAGGGCTGGTTCCTTTCTCCAGAAGATGGATGGTGGGCTCCAAAAGTGCATGTTGGTCCTCCCAGCACTGTGATCCAGCTGGTTTGGGTGTTGTGGTTGTTGGAAGAGATGCTTTTCTCTCTGAAGTTGAGCAGGGATGAGGAGGAGGAGGAATGTAGGTCACTCGTGCAGCACGTGATGCGGATATCAGGCAGGAAATACAGTTGCTCCCCCACTGAAGGAAAAGCTTACCGCAGCTCAGAGCTTTCCACCTTCACTCAAACCACAAGAAGTCATATAAAAAGTCACAGGTCAAAGGCAGCCCTGGGAGCTGCCTGTGCCACACAGCCAGATTTGCTTCCGTGCTGCTGTGCCCTCATTAACCAGCTCATTAGGGGGCATGGGGAGGTGCTGCATCTTGTGAATCAAAGAAGCAGTTTGGGGATAAAACAGGACTTTTTTATTAGTGAAATAAGAATGAGAGATGGGTCCAGAACTGCAAAAGCACTTAAATACATTAGTATTATTTAAAAATAAATTTCTGGGGATTTCCTAAAACTTTCTTTCCCGTTTGGATGAGGGAATATCAAGAATCAGTTTCAGTTTGGGTATAAGGCACCACATTAAAGCATGTTTTGGAAATAGGGAAGGTTCTAAAATGGACCAGGTGCTTTTAGAAACATAAGGAGGATGAATAAGAATATGACAGGAGCATTAGCTATTAATCATACTCTCTCCATTGCATGCAGCAAATCTTGTTTAATTCTGTTGATCTCATTAAACATTAATTAAATTATCAGTTCATTAATTAAAGCAATAATGGGTGGGATCCCCAGGTGAGGTGCATCAGAGTGGGCTGAGGTGTTCTGGCAGGAGCTGGCAGAGGTGCTGAGCAGCACAGGCACAGGCTTTATTACAGCTGGTTTACATCCAGTAACATTTTCCCCTCACTTTCTGACACAGCCTGCACCATAAATCTGGGTCATAACTGCATTTTCAGCATAGTCCTGGACTCATAAACCAGAGCATGGAGCATTGTGCTGGGGAGAAGGTAGAGCAGGCTTGGGGGAAGGAGTGGGGACATGGCTGCCATTGCCTCTTGAGTTTATTGCAGTTTCTGAATATGCACAGATCTCACTCAAAGTGCTGAGCCAAAATGCCTGTGGTGCTGGATCTGGGGGTATTGGAAATGAAGGTTAACCCCTGAGAAAAGGCACAAGCCCAGAATGAATCTGTGCAGAAGCCATAACAAGTGCCCAAAAACACGTTTGCGTTTCACTTTGAGAGTTCCTCTTGGGTTTCTTCTTAGGAGTGTTAGAATGGAAGAGTGGAAAGGAAGGGGGCACCCTCATAGATAAACCTGGCTAGTCCCTTAGCAGCCTTTTCCAGTTCATCTCCCCCTGGAATGGGCTGACCCAGCAGCACTGTGGCTCTTATCTGGGAGGCAGCAGCCATCCCCAGCACCCAGTCCAGCCCCAAAAACCCTGCACTGCACCCTCAGTTTTCTGGAGCACAGGTAACAGCCTTTCCTTTGGTTTCCTAGGGGAAAAAGAAGAGACGAACACGAGAAAAGCAGCAAGATTCCAGCTCAGGTAAGTGCGTGCAGCCTGGCAGCTGTTCCTGCTTTCCTGCTCAGATGGGAGAATCCAAAGCAGTTGCTGTGTTTTACCATGTTTTCTTTTACTCTCCAGAGCTTAACTAGAGAAATACACGTTCTTTTTTTTTTTTTAAAGCCATGGTAAATTAACATTTCTGTGACTTTTTAATAGACGTGCTTGATTTAGAACATGGGTAGCGTGTGAAAACTGAAAAGATTGTATTTTGGCAAATGTATAATAACTTCATATAAACTGTCACTAAACTTTATCTACTGAAAACATCCAAGGTGGATGTCCCCATCAGACCTACAGAATTCCTCTCAAATGCTTCCATATTGTGTGTGGGATGAAATGTAGTGGCAGGACTGAAAATCATTCATGGGACTACACCAGCTTTGGTTGTCATTTCAGAGTAATGTAGAGTTGAAGCAAAGTCATACTAAACCCCACCTCCCTGTACCACCCTGCCAATTAGAAAAGGCCCTTTGGACAGGTTTCAGATGGTCACAGACACATTCCCATCACCCAAGGCTATTCATGTGCTGATTTCTGAAGTATTTCTGCCATATCAGGAATAAATATTATCTGTACCAATAAATATTAGTGAAAAAGGAATCATTATCAAGAGATGTGTCCCAGTAATACCTTCAGTTTAATTAACACTGTTGATCTCATTCTGTGCTGAGTTTGATAAGAAGAATACAAGTTTTTAGGCCTTTATGTAGAGTGCACGGTATATTTTTATATATCTCTATATATGTCTTGTTTGTGTGATACAAAAATTGTAATTTCACCTGTTACAGACTGAAAACCAGCTACTGGTTGTATACAATGAGACATTCATTGGCAGTGGTTGAAAGAGAGAAGCTGAATCCAGCACAGAAATGTGCTGTTCAATCTCATTCCCAACACCAGAGAAAAACACGATGTGCCTGAAAGCAAACAGGGCTTCACCCTAGTGATTCCTGTAATTATACAGCAAAACAGCAACGTTTTAGGAAGGTGTGGAGAACAGCTTTTCCATTCCAGCTGAAGGGTATGATGGGGGCAGAGTGGAATACCTGGGCCTAGGTCTCCGTGGTGCTAGCTCTGCTTTCAGCCTGCTTCTGCAACATTTCCTCCTCTTTCCTCCGCGCGCAGTCCGAGCTCGCTGGCAGCCCGGTGGTGTCTGCTGCAAAGGCAGGGAGCCGGGAAGGATGCAGATCCACGAGTCGGGCATCGCCTCCGGATTTGGCAGCTTTTCCAGACTTAAGAAATTGGAAGAGCTGTGAATTTCCCTGTAATTGCCCACGTTTCTCAAAGCTGTTTCCCAAACCACCTCCAGCTGCCAGCAGTGATCACTGATATTTGCCTAACGATCACTTTTTTCCAGGTGGTGCCAGCGCCATTCTGTAGCAGAAAATAATGGGATTGTAGTCTGTTAGTCGTGTGTTTAAAGTGGCTAAAATGATGTTGCCTCTTTTCTTCCTCGTGCTCCTCCTCCTCTTTGTGCCTCTGCCTTGCCCATTCTCCGCCGCGCATGCTTCTGTGTTCAGATCCTGCCTCTCCTAAGAAATGCAGAGCTCGCTTTGGCCTCAACCAACAAACGGACTGGTGCGGCCCGTGCAGGTGTGTATCGGCATCTCCTCGCTGCTGGGTGTTCCTGGGACAGGGGTTCAGCTCCAGGTGTCCTGCTGCAGCCATCCCGGTGTCCTGCAGCCATCCCAGCACCAGCAGGGGCTGCTCTGTCCAGGCAGGGATGGGGTGTGCTCTGGGCATCCTCAGGAGTTTTCTGAGCTGCAAAGGACAGGCCGGGCTCTGGGGTTTTTATCCCTTCCGGGGCACTTTGTTTAGTTCTGTACATATTCTTCACCTGATAGACTTTCCTGGTCTTAAAAGTTTATTTCCAGGATGGAGACCTCTGTGACCCTTACATGAGGCCTTCTCTTCCAATCACATTAGTGGCACCCTAGGGCCAGCAAGTGAGGATTTAATGGGGTTTTTTTTTTCCTATTTATACTGGGCTAACCATGTATTTTAAGATCCAGCTCTTTCTGAGCTTTAAATTTTGCAGTACCCATCATGGGTGCGGTGGAACAGCCTCAAGCAGCAAAACAGAGCAGTGCTGTGCTCCTCAGGCTCCCAGGGATGGATTTGGTGAAGAAATAGTAAAGTTCACATCAACCAAGTTCTGCTGGGCTCAGAGGGGCGCAAAGGCAGGCAGGCAGAGAAAGCTCCTGGGGGCTTCTGGATCTGGGTGCCAGAGCACAGAGAGACTCCAGCTTGGACAGATGTCTGCAATTTGCAGTTTTACACCAGTGCATGAGGAAAAAGGTGGAAGTAAAATATTGCTTGAGGTGTTTACTTCAGCTTGAAGTGACTAAAATCATTTAGTTGACCCATACCTTGCTGCACCCCAAGCTCCAGTCCCTGTGGCTGAGCCTTACATGAGCTCCCCTCCTGCACCTCAGCGTGCCACAACAGCAGAGCTCCCTGTTTGCCTTTTATTCCCTGGGTAGTGTCATCAAGCACCATTTTTAATTGATTAAGAATGCAGGAAGAACTCCCTTAGTGTCTCTTTAATACCTGAATGTCCAGAGGGGGCTGCTGGAGTGCCCCATGCCCCCAGCTGTGCTGCCAGGCTCAGTGCCCCGCTCTTCCATGGACACTTCTTCCACCTTCCCTCTGCCTCCAGCTCTGAACTCAGCTTCTCCTCTGCACGGCTTCCTGATTAACACAGGCTGCTGGAGTGCCCGGACACCTTGGCATGCTCTTCCTGTGTCCCCCGTGTAACCGAGCCCTGCTCAGCCAGAGCTGCTCTGCAATTCTGTACTAACACACTGCTGCCACTCAGGGGCTCCTGCCCAACGTGCTCTGCTCACCTGTGGAGAACAACTTCCCCAGGAGGATTTCCACTCCTCAGGAGAGATTAACTGGTTAAGACTGGGTATTCCTGCTGGAGCTTTCACACTCCTCCCCCACACCCTGGACAAACACTCCAGGGTGCTGTAGTTTTCCAAAGTGAGAGGGATAAGTTCCCTTAAAGAGAGAGAAATTCTTTTAGCTGTGTAACACCCACCTCAGCATAACCCATGGACTGGGCCATTATCAGCAGTCTGCAGTGTCACATCTGCTTTTTCCCCCTGTAAAACTCCAATGAATCAATGGGCACAATGCTGTAATCTTAAACAGGTCATTGAAACTGTCCCGCAGCTACTGCCAAGATGTCTCTGGGAAACACAGCTCTTCCTCAGGCTTGTCTCTGGGGAATTACTACCCATGGAAAATTCCCTCGAGTTAAACAGTTCAGCTGAGCTGTCGTGTTTCCTATCACATTAATTGGGTCAGCATGGCTAACGATGGCACTGACAGCAGTAATACCACTGCTCTTGTTCACATCCAGTGCAAGTCATGTTTAATACTGGGCTGGTTAATACTCATTCTCACACTGTCTGGTTTTTCATTAGGGAGATCAAAGAAAGGTGTGTGCCCGCATTAGCGAGTTCTCCATTTGATCCGCTTTCCTCAGCTGAGACAGCCGAGGCAGGGAGCCAGCTGGGAGATGCTCTTTTACCTGCTCTAGCTGTAAAGGCTCCAGCAGAGGAATTGTCCCTTCAGTACTGTTGAGGTGACATCCTGAGAGCTCTTTTGTTTGAGGATCTGTACTGAGGTGCTCAAGGACCCAAGGCAGGTGACATGAGGGATCTGTCACATGGAGAGAAGGAAAACCAGCTCAACAAACAGTGGAGACAAAATAGTGTGAGGGACTGACTCTGGACAACCAGGGGTAGTTAAAACAATCTGGATGTACAAGGTGACACCTGGAGCTCGGGATAAATACTGAATTGTCACAGGATGTGAAGTAATCATGGCCAAACCCAGCTAGAGCAAGAATGATGTGTGACTTGTATTTTTGATACCCCCAAATCATAACATACAAACATGTGGGAACCTGAGTGTTTCTTCCAGGAGGGATTAAAGGAGGCAGGTGCTGCTGCCTTAGGGACCTTCCCAGTCCCAGCAGATTTCTTGCTAGAAGAGCAGGGCTGAGGGATGAGAGCTGCCCCCCATGGGTTCTGTCCTATAAAAACCCCTTTGGGTCAGTAAAGCCATCCCCAGCTGATGAGCTCCATCACACTCCACAGAATGGAAGTATGGAACTGATTCTGTCACCACTGCAGCACCATTCTGCCAATCTCTCTCCCTAGTGTCTGCCCACACTGCATTTTGTACCTGTACTCCACTTCCAAGGGAGAGGTCACATCCCAAGGGGAGGCCACAGCAAACACTTCCTCTCCAGGAGCCCCAGGGGCTGCAGTGTGATCGGTAGCTCTGTCAGGCCTGATTTTCCTTTAGCTCAGTGGGCAGGTTCAAGGTGATCTGCCCTCCGAGGAGCAACAAGTCCTCTGAAGGCCTCAGGTCTGTTCCAGTTTTCAAAGCAGGACCTCAGACACTCTCAGACCATCTCCCTCCAGCCAGTCCCAGGCCATTTCCTTCCCTTTTCCTGAATGGTTGCTGAGCACATTTCTGCTCAGCTGTATCACTGAGTTGTTCTTGGAGGTGGGGATGAATGGGAAGTACACTCACATGCAGAGATAACTCAGAGCAGAAGAGAAGAGCTGAGAGCTAAGGCCAGGTTGGATGGTACTTGGAGCAACCTGTGGTCTAGTGGAAGGTGTCCCTGCCCATGACAGGGAGGTTGAAACAGGATGAGCATTAAGGTCCCTTCCAACCCAAACCAGTCCATGGTTCTAAGTAGATGATACTGTGCAACAAGGCTAGGGAAGTGCTGGGAAATGAGCTCTTGGAACCTTCAGATTTTGGGATGAGAAAAGCTGAGACTGGTGTGAAGGGCAGTGTCCCAGCAGAGCACCTGGGGCTGCTGAGCTCAGTGGTGCTGATGTGCCCTATGACACCAGTGAGCACGACTGTCCCATGGGCCCTGCATGGGCTCTGTGGCAGCTGGAGAGGGGATCCATGGGGGGAATGCTTTAGTCCTGAACTTGTGAGAGCCAGGCACCCACACAAAGCAGTTGGTTTGGTGGCTGGTGAGGAATGACCTCATGGGTTGGATTTTTATTATTATTTTGATTTTTTTTAAATTTTGGGGGTTTTGTTATTATTTATATTATTATTTTTAAATTGTATTGTTTCACTTTCTTATTATTATTTTCATTTCATGCCTTTGATAATTATTAATATTTTGGGGAGTTATTTTTCCTTTTTTTTTTTTTCTTTTTTCCTGTTTTCATTTCACCGCTGTCGATGTTTACTCCTGTTTCACGCCCTCCTCCTCCTCCTCTCCCGCTGCGGCCGAGCCCCTTCCTGCGGGCCCGCTCCCGGCCCGCCGGCGCCGCCTGGCGGCGTCCCCGCAGCGCTGCAGGGAGACGGGGCCGGCGGATCCGGGGGCTGCCGGGACCCTCCCGTTACTCACAGAGGCCTCTCTCTGCTGTTCCAGGAGGAAAAAGAAGTGCATTCGGTACCTACAAGGAGAAGGACGCTGTGCCAGCCCAGTTTCTTCCGATGGAAGTGCTATAGACTCCCCTCCATCCCCACCGGACGCACTCCGATGCATCCCCTCCGCCTTCCCGTCAGAGCAGCTCGCAGCCCCCGCCGACCCCGCGCACCGCGACCAGCCCGACCCCTGCCCCGTGTCCGCGCACCTCCCGCCCGCCTCCGGCCCCTCCAGACCCGGCGCCCGGCGCTCCGCGGCGCCCCCCGCCTACAGCCGCGCCTCCTCGGGGACATAGTCCCTGCACTCCGCTCGCCCGCCTGGTTCCGCTGCCCCCGGAGGAGGACCAGAGCCAAATCCCCATCTCACTGGAAAACATGCAAAGTTTGGCGACAGGATGACTTAAGGATGATGGAAAACTCACTTGGTTGGGGTTTTTTTGGAGGGGAGGGGTGATAAAGATAGAAAAGCAAATTTCAAAAAAAAAAAGGTAAAAAATAAGTACTTGCCAAAATTTAAAGTGCTGATGAGTAAACAAGCCTTTTGTCCCTGCCCTGTGATCCTTTTTTTTGTTTGTTTGGGGTTTTGTTTTGGTTTCTTTTTTACTGCATTATCTCCAAGTGTGGCAGAGAGCAGAGCCACATCCCCAGCTTGCTGCCGTAGGTGGTAGGTGCTGTCAGCCTAACCCTGGCTTCCACTCCCTGCCCTCCGAGCTGCTTGAAAGTGTAGTCACTCACAGATCTCCCATAGCCGCTACACCAAGGAGCTGGAAAAGCTGGAATAGGAGAATTTTTTAAAAGCCCATATGTCTGAAAAGGAAACGAAGCGATGCCAGCATTCTGATCTGACTGGGTAAAAGAGGAATTAAATATTTAAAGCAATGAGGTGAATTTTTTCAACTTCTTGTTTGAGAACAGAAAGATGTTGTTTGCAGGTAACAGGTCTCTGTGCAGACATGTCCCATTCCACGGTTGTACAGCAAGGCAGAGGAAAAGGGAGCACCAGCCAGGCAAAGGAGCACAGACTGGCTGCTTGGAAGGGCTGATGGTTGCTCAGGGCATCAGTCAGGTGCAGGTCTGCCCTGCTGTTAGGAACTGTCCTCTGCAGATGTGGAGATGGTCAGAAATCCCACCAGACAGACTGGCCAAAGCCTCAGAAATCAGTCTGTTGCTTTTGTAGGCTCTGATCGAGCTCTGCACCTCCACAGCAGTGAGCAGGGCAGGGCATGTGGGGAGCCAGCAGCCCCAGCGGGCTGGCCAGTGGTGCAGTACCACACAGCCAGGGCTGAGGGCCACGCTGGCCAGTGGTGCAGTACCACACCGGCCAGGGCTGAGGGCCACGCTGGCCAGTGGTGCAGTATCCACTAGCCAGGGCTGAGGGCCACGCTGGCCAGTGGTGCAGTATCCACTAGCCAGGGCTGAGGGCCACGTAGTGGGCCACGCTGGCCCAGCGGGTCCTTCAGGGGAGGTGTGAGCTCTCCTGTGGCAGGGCAGTGTGAGCAGCACAGCAGCACTCGCTGCCCTGCTCTGCAGGCATCTGTCTGTACATACCCTCGGTGAGATAAGAAGCCTCTTTCTCATGACTCAGTGTAGAACTTTTTAAAAAACCTCATTCTAGCTTTTTCTAAAAGATTCTCCCTCCCCCCCAATGATGATGCCAAATGTTAATGCATTCTCTCCAGCTTTAAAATATTTACCAGTTTCTGGTATTGTATTTATATTTTGAGTTTGATAAACAAAAAACACTGTGGATGAATTATGATATCCATGAACTGATGTAAATCCCAAATAATTCCGAGTTCTGGATTTACTTCAGGTTTACAGTCTTCTCAGAGACCACAGTCTAGTCCAGTGCAGACTTTTTTTCCTGTATGAAAGAAATCTATTCCAGACTGCTGAAGAGAAAAATGACACCACACAGAGGTAGAGGGAGCACTATTTTTTTCCTACTTGATAGATGGGTTTTGGAGTACTGAATACAAATTATGTAGTAATATTATTGTAGAACTGCAAGAAATTTAAGATGACCTTTATAATGTACAAACTATTTTTGTATTTTTTTCTTAATGCAAAAACACAAACCATAATTTTTTACATTGGATTAAACATAACTTTTTAACCGAGTTTATGCCTCAAAGATTTAAAAATTTTAAAAAAAAAGCCAAACCTAACTAGTCTATAGAGCAGCTTTGGGTTTAGTCCCATAATTAGATGGTTTTGCTTCTAGTAGTGTAGATTTTTTATTTCTGGTTTTAGTTTTGAAGATCTAAACCTCTTTCTTTATTCCTCTCCTGTATAAATGTAACTTCAGAAGCACTGACAGAAAGCTATGTGCACAAACCTGACAAGTTTGCAAAGTCATTTTGAAGTTTGAATCATTTTAAGCCTTGGAGAAGTAGCATTACCTGATGCAATGCTAAGTGTACACTTTTGTACGGACTGCACTCAGAGGGTTAATTACATAGCACTAGACCGATATGCAATTTGCTCATTTTAAATTATTTTAGCAAGCTTAGCCAACAGCATGTTCCGGTGCTGAACAGAGAAACTCAGTAGACTTGCCAGACCTGATATGGTCTCTTTAACCATTTGATTTTCAAGCAAACAAACAAAAAAACCAGCTTTAAAAATGGCTGTGTCTCAGCTCATCATTTGTCACTCTGAGACCCTCTGCTGTAAGGTGCTGTAAGTGTCACCTACTGGAAACACCAGAGATGACAGACCAGCCACCGTAGCCTGCTGTACCTACCCATACTGGGTGTAAGGCTGGTGCAACTCAACACCCCACTGCTATTGGGTGGTGGGATGACAGATGGAACTTAGCAAAGCGAAGGCAGGTAGAAAAGAAAAAGCAGATGTGTCTAAATAACACCAGAGGAAATTTCTGGGAAAGTCCTAATCAGTATTAAACTGGCCGAGGCACCTCATTCATTTCACACCCTGGGACTTTCACCCACTTATTTCAAGGCTCCTCTGGTGAGTCCCTGCCTCGACCAGCAAAAGGCTCATCTGCATTACAGCCTCCTCTCACCATTGTTATTCCAACTGATTCCTGCAAAAGCTCCTTGGTGACACCTAACACGCCCTCTCCAGGAGCCCTTCCGTGTGCCCTCGGCACAGAAGCATGTTCAGAGCCCCAGAGCTGGAGCAGTCACAACCACAGCACTGTGTGTGCTCTGCTCTGTACATACAGGCCAGACCTTACCCTGTGCTTCCAGCTGCTGCAGGATGAACTCACAATACCCACTTGTGATATACTAAACTGAGAAAATGTCATTATTTTTATCCCAAAACACAGAAAAGATACTGTTTTTGACCGCCCCTTTCCAAGACAAAACAGCATGACTGACTTCTGTTCCACGGCCCCACGGCTGATAACCAATGCCAAAACAAAGTTATTAATACCAAAAAAGTGTCTTTCAAACTGCTATATGAAGTGTTGCTATTTTGTGTTAATACTCTCTTTTTAATAAAAGGAAGACTTTGCCCTGAAGTTTTTATCTCAACAAGAATTGTTTTATTTTACAGCAGTTTTAACTCTTCCTGAAATACGTATTTGAATTCCTGGAATCAGTCTGAATGTAGAAGTCATGGAAGTACCACTTCATTAAAACAAGTAAAACCACTGTATGTATGTAGCAGGGATAAATGTTTTGCAGCTGTACCTTCATTTGTCCAATGACTATCCATCATTTGTTGTAATTTTTTTACTTCACTGAGTTTGTATTTTTTGGCTTTTATGTTCAAAGTATGTTTATAGCTTTATAAATAAAGTAATTGCCAGATTGGCTGTTCAAAAGAGGCCACTGGAAGTTATAATGCTATCAAACTCTCAAGTAACTATTCCTTAGCATTCAAGAGGATTCCTGCTTGCTTTTGTTTTTTCCCTTCAGCATTTGTATGGTTGAATAGTTTTTAGAATAACTGCCAATAACCTTCAGTGGGTAAGACTGAAATACTAAGCCGAGGGTACAAAGAAAATACTTTTTTTCCTACAATTCCTCCTGACACACAGCCTTGCCTCTCCCTACCCCCACACTCAATCCCTTTATCCAAGAGAAGCCTGATCCCTGATCATGCACTGACTTAAAAAAAAAAAAAAAAATCGGGGGAAAAAAAGCCCCAGCTTTAATACAAGTTAAACAGCAACAGAAAGTTTAACAGTGGGAAATCAGTCTCTCCTGCTTTCTGGAATTTCAGAGGACACAGCCAGTGCCTGTTACAGCAGCAAGAGCAGATTCAGCTGAAGCATGGAACACAGGCAGCAGCCACAGCACAGCCCAAACTGTCAGCACCTCCCCAGGGTCTTTCTCTACAGCTGAGCACCAGTATTACTGGAGTAGGTAAAACAACTGAGAGATTAAAAAAAAAAAGTCCTTTCCTGCTGACATCCCTGTCAGGCAGCTACAGAATTTGAATCTGGCTGAAGTCTGAGTCAGTACTGCAGGGGAATTTCAATTAGAGAAAGTAAGTTGTATGCAATCATAACTACCAAGACTAGTGAGAGTATTACAAATCTGCCAAAGCTACACAAATGCCTTGAGCACACAGAGCAGCCCTCCCCTACACCTCCACAGGTACTTCAGTGCCACCAGCCAAGTGTCACAACCTGGGGCTTCAGCACAGGCCCAGCACTGCACATCTGAGCAGCGCAGCCCAGGCTTCGGGCCAGCTGCTCTCACAACTGCCAAGTTCTATCCCAGGTGTGGTTATGCAGGCACAGCACAGTTGGAGCAGTGCAACGAGGAAGATAAACTGTGTCTTTGTCTCTCCCTCACCCTGAAGCAGCGTGAGGCATCGTGCAAGGCGGTGGCTGCTGACAAACATTAACACTGGGCTCGTGACAAGCACCCAAAGGAATTTACACAGGCTGCTGCCACCAAACAATTACACCAGGCTTCTGAATATTAACTACAAACATGGCCACAGAACAGACATCACATTTTCCTCTAGTAGCACTTCTAAACTGAGGTGCATTGTTTGCAATCCAGGCTCCTGGAAAGGTTTCAGCATGTCCAAATGTAGCAGTGGAGTATTTCATGGCCACTGACAATGTCTAATTCACCCAATATAATGCACAGCAGCACAAAGGCAAGCCCCATAACCTCCTGAGGAACCAATGTGAGGAGCAGTTGTATCCAAAGCATGGGTTCAAATACTACTTTATAGCAAACTCTGAATGCTTTCATAATGGTTACATCCAAAAATGTAGGCAATCTTGGTAAGCCATCAAAAAACCATCACCCAACTTCATCTCCAAGTTGCCCACTGTGTCTGACTAGTACCCTGCATTAGTCACTTAAAAACTTCACATCTGTTTTATTTCAATTAACCACTGCCTCAGTGCTATTATTTCTACACTTATTGCTAAGTGACAGTAAAATTGTCTAGTTCCAAATAACTAGAACCATTTGCAAACAAAAGTTTAAAAGCCCTTTATTAATTCAGAAGTGAAACACCAATATTTCAAGTGAGATAAGTATGTTTATTAAGGTTCATTCTACTCTAAGGTTTATACAGAGAATGGAATGCAATACAAGCTAAGAGCACACCTCAAAGATCTACCACACAACCATCCCCTACTCCCTATAAGGGAACTGTAAAAAAAAAAAAATCAGAAAACCAGTTACTGTTTAACTAGTTGCAAGTGGCTTTGTCCAAAGAAGTTAAGCTTGATATTGCATTAGCTTTGTATGCAATAATTAAGTCTCTACAAGCTGAAGTATCACATACAGAGGCATAAGATTTCCTGTGGACACATGAAACCATGTTTCCAAGAGCTACATCACAAGGGTCTTTCAAACTGCCTAAAAACCAGCCACTAATAGCATGCACAGGTCAATAATATTAACTTTGGTAATGTCAGTCATTTTTGGTCAAATATGGATTCCACTTGAAACAGTAACATGTATAAAAACACACCCATCCTGTGCATAAAGCAACACACTTTATTTGCTATCACCTAGAGGCAGGTCTTCAAGACATGGCTGAAGTATTCAAACTTAACTGTCAGGAGCTTGTTCAGTTCTAAATCACATTTTCACTAGTCTATAAGGCAAGACTAAAAGGACAAGAAAGTGGTCAAATATTTAATTTTTTTTAAATGCAGGACAAGAACCATCTTGAAAATTATATAGCTTTAAGTAACACTTAACTTTTTCCCACAATGCTTTTGTAAGAAATCCAGTAACTTTTTTATATTATCTAGTTCCCCAAGACACATTCTGGTTTATTTTTCTTTCTGAAGTTATCAGTACCCTATAAATATATGTGTTTTGCTCTTCTTGAGGAGGAAGTTATAGATGTTTTTATTTACAACAGAGTCAA